AAAAGAAAAGAAAAATAGTCGGGCATTATGGCAGGCGCCTATAGTCCAAGCTACTTGGGAGGCTGAGGCAAGAGAATCGCCTAAGCCCAAGATCTGGAGGTTGCTGTGAGCTGTGATGCCATGGCACTGTACTGAGGGTGACAAAGTGAGACTCTGTCTCTTAAAAAAAAACCCAAAACATAAGGGTGATAATAGGAGATGTCATTTGTGGTGGAATTACAAGCTTTATAATCCTACCCCAGCTACTAAGAATGAGTAATGTTGTAACCGAGTCTCAGAGAGGTAAAACTGCTTACCTGAGGCAGCCCAGTTAGCAAATGAGGTTCAAGAGGCTAACTTGGGTATTTCTGATGCTACAGCCCTCATCTCTTAAGTCCCCAGTGGGAAAGGTGACACCAGTTTTTTCACAAACTTCAGAGACCCCAGGACTCCCTCCCAAAGCACAGCCTGACCCAGCACTGGCCACACAGGGAGATGCACTTTAACATTGTTTAATCTCATAGGCCCAGCAAGGGGGAGGGCCTGGCTCAGAGTCACTCAGCAAGTCTGAGACAGAGCAGGAGGAAGTGGTTCCTAATCCCCAAGAGAGTCCTGATTCCCAGTCTCAATAATAGGGAGATGTGAAGGCTAGAGGGACATGGGGACAACAAGGGGAGGTTGAGGTTTCCAGACAAAATCCTAACCTCAAACCCTCCCTATGCCTCATTCCCCTACACCCCCTCTACCTGCCACCAGTTCAGAGGGAGAGACAGGAGGGACTGGAAGATGACACAGACACCACTGAGGCAGTGTGACTCGGCCTCAGAATTCAGACAGGGAGTGACCCTTCATTCTTCTGTCCCATACAAGCCCTTCATCTTCTCCTCCACGGAATGAGAGACACATAAATACTTATCCTGGTTACCCAAAGACTTTCACACCTGGCACAGCTGCTACATACATCCATATAGCCACTGATATTTCACTCACAGGCCCACGGAGTTAAGGGCCACACGTGGGCACTCAAACATTCATCCACAAGCAGCAATACATGTGGCCACACAGAAACAGGATCACAAGCACACATCTGCATGTAGAAACACACACTGCCATATGGTTACCAACACACATGACACATGTCCACACACTCATACAAAGAGACATAGGATTCAGGTGTACAGCTAAGTGGAGAACGGCACAGACCCCCAAACACACAGAGACCCCTAAACCTTTACTACAGGTGCATGTAGGTTCACACACACGTAACACCCAGAGATCAAGACAACAGACACATGCATACACACTCAGGCTGACATCTTTGCATCCTGCTCAGCCTCCCCCAACAGTTTCTTTCTTCCTTCCTTCCTTCCTTCCATTATTTTTTTGAGATAGAGTCTCACTCTATTGCCCTGGGTAGAGTGCTATGGTGCTATGGCATCATAGCTCACAGCACCCCACCCTCAAACTCTTGGGTTCAAGCAATCCTCTTGCCTCAGCCTCCTGAGTAGCTAGGACTATAGGCACCTCCCATGACTCCTGGCTAGTTGTTTTTTTTCTTTCTTTCTTTTTTTAAGTAAAGATGGAATCTCACTCTTGCTTGGGCTAAGGGACATCTTTTTTTTTCTTTTTTTGAAGTTTTTGGCCAGAGCTGGGTTTCAACCCGCCACTTCCGGTATATGGGGCTGGTGCCCTACTCCTTGAGCCACAGGCGCCGCCTGGGACAGCTCTTTACACAACAAGAAGAGCTATTTCTTCCCAGAAGCTTGTATTAACTTATTTTATTTTTACAGAACTCCTATGTATGAGGTAAGAACAGAAGTCCAGAGAGGTGAAATTACTTGCCACACAGGAAGTATTGGCAGAGCTGGGATAAGGATGCAGGGTGTTCGGCTTCAGAGACTGTGCTTTGGGTTCTTATGAAATGGGTTGTTGCATATACATAGTGTAT